GCTACAAAACCAGCCTTCCTGGGGAGAGGTACACCTTCGTGCAAGCGTGGTGTGACAGCTACGGAGGTAACCAACTGCTTTCGGGTTGGATTTGAGCTAGTTCCACCCAATCAAAAGCCCATGACTGGGAAGACCAGAGGCCCACATGGGGAATATACTGTTGTTGCTTTGCTAAATGCTCACACTGTCTAACTGCGTCCTCAATATTTATGTACATACCCATCGACATACTCTTAGATTTTTTCAGAGAAGTTTCTTTTTTCTGTAGGTACTGGTTAACACAAAGACTTATAAATGGTCTACGTGCTGAGTATAAAGGAGTTCTCAGGTACCCATAGGTAATTTACATCAACCTTCTCATCCAAGGCTCGGGGAGCACTGCAGAAAAGGGAGCCGAAAGAATATAAGGGTCTTTGCATTAACCAGTATGGAAGAGGAGTGTGAAACGCTCACTTCTGGACATGGCACGGCTGTTGCTCACATCAACTCCCAGCAGCTGTGGTCACCTGCGCATGATCAAGCCAGTCACAATACTGCAAGGATGGGGGAGGGGCAAAAGCCTCATTTCTAGAGCTGCGGAAGGAAGGAGATTCACTTTTTTGGGGGATGTGATCCTGTGGCTGTCCCTGCATACACATGGGCAGCGTTAAATAGACGCAGGAGGTTATTAATAACAATAAAAGGACATGAAGTTGAGAAAGAGGTGGGGTTTGGTGGGGGCACTAGAAGTATTGGAGGAAGGGAGGGGGCAACTGATGAATATGATCTACATGGACTGCATGAAGCAGAAACATAAATGCATGGAACTTTCCAAGACCAAATAGGAAAACAGACCACTGTTTTAAAGACCTGTGTCTGTGCTGTGCAGGTATCGTAAGAGGTGCTTGCCATGCAAAGGCGATAGGTCAACATTCCATTTCTTACCTCTTTATATATCCACAGCACATATGTGGTACTTTCAGATACCTCTATCTCTACGAAAATCCAACATGCCAACAAGCCCTGCTCAACTAAGACAATTTTCCCGAGAACCATGAGTTAACTCTCCAGATGACGCTTCTCTCGCAGGTTTCCAGGACCGGGCCACACGTTTGGAACGCGATGGCCTCACACTTGCTTTCGCCCTTGTGACATTTTCACAGCTCTCAGCAATATGCTTGTGTCACCGTCGGTGGCTCTGCAAATGATCGCAGTCCTTGTTGAGAGTCTGTTTTTCTGGGCCAGATCTGATACTGTGGACCTGGGGGAGGGAGGCACAAAGCCCAAGGCTGGCTCTTTTCATCTTCCGAAGGGAGAGAGCAGGCTCGTGGCCGCGTTCGTCTCTTTAAGGGGACTGATCTATGTACCTAGCTAGAGCGTGCAACATGTTCAAAGTTGACATTCGAATACAAAAGTGCATTAATTCCAAACCAGAGTTGGCATCGTCGGGTAGCAAAAGGATCACTCTGCTTTAAGTGATCACAGAGGTGTTTGTGATTCTGTTTTGCTTTCATGATAGGCTGTTATTCTGTCTGTGATTTATTTAATGCTACATCTCCAGCCTGCAAGAGAACTCTCAATTATTGTAACAGTTTCCATGGAAACATATGATCTATTCTCTCTTATTTGCTCACTGTTCCCTAACGATCCATTCTCCCACTACCTCCCTAAGCCCCTCCCCAGCCTCAGTTCTTTCCAGAAGCCCCCATGGAATTTCCATTTTCCATCAGCAATTCTCCTGCCTGTACTGTTAAGTTATCAAAAGCATGTGCACGGTACACTGACTTTTGAGTTAACAAGGACAAAAATAAGAATGGTAAATGAGCCTAGGGAGACTAGAATGAAGCAAATTCAATTAAGGAAAGTTCACACATGGAGGCCGAGTCAGCGAGGGGCCACAGGAGTGGGCAAACTTGAGTGGAAGCAAGACTCCCCAATGTTTATACTCTTAATATAATTTTAATTGTAAGCCATGTAAATACAAGGCTGGCTTGAAATATAATTGGGGAAGAAAGAAATGAGGAAGGACTGTGTGTAATTATGGAGTTTCTTGGGTGGTGACAATCTTGAGACTGTGCTGATTGTTGTGACAAATTAGAAACCACTGGAGGATTGTATTGGTTATGTGGGGAGAGCATAGTGGTATGAAAATTACATCCCCAAACTTGTATGTGTGTGTGTGTGCATGTGTGTGTGTGCGTGTGTGTGCTCACATATGTATTGTGTATGATTCAATTTTATCTTCTATGAGTTGGAGGTCTGACTATGCTGCCCACCTGGCCTGACTCCTGAGCTCAGGCAACCCTTTTGCCTCAGCTTCTTGTGTAGCTACATGTGTGTATTACTGCACCCAACTTAAAACTTAATTTTTGAAGCTCCTACATAAGACTGGGTGTGGTGTTACTCTTCTGTGATCTCTGCACCTGAGTGGATGAGGCAGAAGGACCGTAGGAGGTTCAAGGCTCACCCATGTGACATAGGTCAAACCTCAGAAATGGCATAATACAAGACTTCCTACTGGACTCAGCCTGTCAGAATTCCCTCTTCCTTTCTCCTTCATCCTTGGGGGAACTGCTTTACTTTGAAATCCATTCTTTCTAACATTTTAAATGCCCTGACTCTCCCCTTAATATTTCATCTCTAGGCTTTCAAAGAGCCCTTCATTCCCACCAAGTGGCTCCCTTCTTCCTGTTCGCTTTCCTTCCTGGTCCTGTCTAGGCACTGTGTTCACTGACTCGGTTGCTACATTTTTCCTGACCACGTGTTTACTACATGCTAGCCTCTGTGGGCTGCGGCAGGCTGTGTGACCATACTCTAATTCACTACTCCCCTAAACCAGCCCTAGTCTTACTCTCAGTATGCTTCACCAGCCCACATGCAAACTGCTCGTCACTGCTGGGAAAACTCATCCAAGAAGTGTGGACCACAATCGGCTGCCTACTATGTAACCTGATGGAGCTCAGCGCTCCTTGGCCACCCCCTTGGGTGTCTGTCCTTTCTTTCCATTCTCATTCCATCCTGAGGCTCTTCAAACTCTAAGACAGCATTTCAGACTCTTGAAAGGACCTCAACAGAAAACCTGGTCATAGGCAATAGAAAATACAAGCATTAAACCTAGATGTTGAATTAATCGAGTCCATAATTCTGAAATTGGGTGTTGGCTATAACAGGGAAGAGTCCTTCTCTTGGGTCACTTTAGCAGAAAGAGCAACAGACCAGCATGTAAATGGGAGTATCATCCATTAATGGTTTCCAGGAGAGGAGAAAATAAAATGGAGAATGGCTGGGCAAGGGGGCACATGCTTAAAATCCCAGCACTACGAGGAAGGACTGACACAGGGAGACTATGGGTTGGAGCCCAACCTGAACTATGTAGCAAGACCCTATGTCAAACAAGAGAATTAATGGATAACTGCTTTAAGTTGGTGGTCAGGGAAAACCTTACAAAAGTGGTCTCCTAATAGAGATGTGAATTAGAAGAGCCAGCCATGCAAAGACCTGAGGGTCTTGTGTCAACCAAGCTCCACGGGAAGAAGAAAACTGGCTTGATTCAGGCACCCAGCAGCCACCATTAAATCTAGAACGTACTGGGCAACAGGAGAAGAAACAGTAAAGACGTCAAGGAGCGAAGAAGGACGAGATCATAAGGGTAGCGTAAGCCACGAATGAGAATGGAGCAGACAACGCATCGAGCTGTGGCAAGAGAGAAAACTTACAGGAAGCTTGTAAACAAACCGCTACAGCTGCTAAGCGAGGAGCGTACTGATTATGGGTGCTGAGGTGGCGATGGACACCAGTTAGGAGCTTTCGCGGTGGTTTGGCTGAGGGCTGTGCTGTGGAAGATGGAGTAGAGGTAGTAGGTGCTGAGTAGGCTTTGATTGACCCAACAGGATTGGCGAGTAAACTGTATGGAGCATGGAAGGGTACCGGTGGTATAAGGACAAAGATGGAGAACGTAGGGGGACTCAGGGATAACTCAGGTTGCTGGTTTACGTTTCAGAGACGACAAAGAAATTTATATTTTTTGCACACCTGAGTTCATGGGACAAGATTTATGCCAGACATCTTTGTGGCACACTCAGGGATTCAAAGACTCCAAACAACACTAAACAAGTCAGGAATACTTATAACACAATCTCAAGTCTGGTTAAACAGCATCTCGCGGTGTCTATAAAAGCATGCAGGATTGCTCTACGAGTCCCAGGGTCATCCTTCGCTGTGCTGCTGCTCAGGAGGAGCTGTTCCCAGTCTCGGCGGCCACCGTGCTCTCTTCCAAAGGCAAACCCGACCGTGTCACTTCTAAGTCTAAAAACTTCCAATGGCTCCCCGCTGCACTGTGAGTAAAAGCCAGGCGTACCTTCCTAGCTCATCGCCCTCAGCACGATCAGGCCACTGCTTCCCTTTGCTACCTCCTGTCCTCTGCTCACGTCACCATGGGCCCACTGCCTCCTGACGGGACCTAGACTATCCTCCTGCTCACGTCACTGTGGACCCAGTGCCTTTCGGTGACACCTAGAATGCGCCAAGCCCTTCCCACCTTGGAATGCTGGCACTGCTGATCCCTCTGCTGGAACAGTCTTTCCTTGCTCTGGCTTACTTCAAGAGACTGAGTCTTATGTATTCCAGGCTGGCCTTGAACTCACTATGCAGCCGAGGAGGAGCCCTCTACCTCTACCTCCTGATGCCTAAATTTTGAAGTTATGGATATGTGCCTCTATGTCTGGATTATGCAATGCTAGGGACCAAATCGGGACTTCATGCCTGCTAGGCAAACACTCTGATAACTGAGCTATGTTCTCAGCCCCTCCTTCTTTGTTCTGAATGCATGGCTGGCTCGTTTCTCCTCTCCAGATCATGTGAGTGGGTCCCCTCTCAGTTTATATGTGAGATAAGCCCCTATTCACCTTCTTCACAATGTTCAGCACAGGCTGCAACCTGGGTTTATTTATGTTCACCTCTTTTCCCACCATAGGGACATCTGTTCCATCCGAAGTGGATGCAGCCACCAAATCACTCTGTACCTTGCCAAAGCTGCCTTTGCCCAGCACCATCAGGAAGTTAAAATCGGTCAGTTTCATCCGGTCCCTGTTGCCATTGTTGTCAAATTTGGAGATGGTGTTGGCTGTCTTTTCTTCTGGAGCTTTGGTACCCTGGTTGATCTTGGCTCTCTGGAGGAAGAAATAAACAGAATACAGGATGAGGGCTGGGAACACGCTGTAGGAAGATACATGGGCTCAGCAGATGCTGTGGTTCCTACAGTCAGAAACCTAACTTCTGCAACGCACAACTGCATTGCTCTGCAAATGTACACCTTGAGGCCATCCTGGGCCCCTCTCATTATCCCTCCAATCACGTCCTTCCCTGGGAGGTGCATGTTTCCTTGGCGACCCTGGAATTCATCGACTTCTTTCCCTGTCTATCAGCACTGCCTGTTAGCATCTATCTGTCACCCAGAGGACCCACATTGGTTCCCTCCCTACCAAGTTTCACAGTCACCAACATGAAACTTCTCATACAAGCGAGTCAGCCACTACCCAAAATGCTTCAGCTCGCAGTTGTTGAGAGAGTAAGCGCTCTTTCCCCAAAGCTGCTGAGCCTGTGTAAGAGAGCCAGCCCTTCCCAGCTGCTGTCCAGACACAGCTGTTGGTAATGTCTGTCCTCATTGTCTTGACTTTCTTCACACACGCTTGTTTCGTGACGTCTGTTTTCCTTCACACCAGAGTGTAAGCTGCTGGAGGACACGGGTTTTGCCAGTTTGGTTTTCACTGATTCTCGAGTATCTGGATGAGTATGCGGAGCAGAACAGGCAATGGAGTGCACCTGGCAAAGGAACGTTCTATACCTCAGTCCCCATGAGCACTGACAGTGGCAGTGCCAAGCATGAGCCCCGGTACACAGCAGACCCTGACCCTGTGAATGGCTACCATTATTATTGTTTCCTTAGTTCATGTCTTTTGGTAACAAATGGGCAATAAAATGAATAAAATGCTTCCTGGAGCGTTCTCTCTCTCTCTCTCTGTCTCTCTCTCTCTCTCTCTCTCTCTCTCTCTCGTGTGTGTGTGAGAGAGAGAGAGACAGAGACAGAGAGACAGAGAGACAGAGAGAAACAGATAGAGGATAGATAAATAGACAGATGACTGATGAGAGAAAGAGAGAGAGAGGTGTAAATTTTTGTAAATGGAAGTGGGGATGTGAGTGTGTGCATGACACAATCACAAGTGGAGGTCAGAAGACACCCTCGGTGTCAGCCTTCACCTACTTTGCTGGAGGCAGGGTCTGTCTTAGCCTTTGTCACTGTATGCACCAGGCTAGGCTGGCCTGCTCTCAAGTTAGTTTCCAGGGATTCGCCCATCTCTGCCTCCCCTTCCCACAGGAGCCCTGGGATTACAAATGCACATCATAACCACGCCTGGTTTTACATGAGTTGGCGGAGAGTTGGTGCGGGAGAATTATCTGTATTCTGTCAATTATATTTTAATAAAACGCTGATTGGCCAGGCAGGCAGTATAGGCGGGAAAGCCAGGCAGGAAGTAGGGGTGGAGCAAAGAGACTGGGAGTATTCTGGAAGCAGAAGCTCTCTCAGCGACTCCTGTGCAGACCACCGAAGAGGCAACATGTAAGCTGTCACACTGAGAAAGGTACTGAGCCCATTATGGCTAACATAGATAAAGATAATGGGGTAATATATGTTGTAAGAGTTAACAAGAAGCCTGACCTAATGGGCCAATCAGTTTATAACCTTATGGAGTCCTGTGTGTGATTTCTCTTTGGGACTTGCCGGCTTGTTGGGGTACTGGGTGGGACAGAAACCCCAACAAGTCTGCCCCTCATACTACAGAGAGTCAAGCTCAGGTCCTTCCGATTGCACACACACTTTACTAACCGAGCCATCTCCCCAGCCCCTTCCTGGGGTTTTGAATGCCAATGGAAATGACTCATCCAATCAAGGGACTCCCACTGAGTTGCACGATCCAGAAAGTCCTCTCGGGGTTGCTGAGAAATCATTGCTGGTATTAATCATTCTTCTGTTGATGGGTGTCGGTGGTGTTTGAGACTGCTAACAAAACAGTTGTCCCAAGTACACAAACTAGTGTTATAGTAAGACATGTTGACGTTTAAGCCCCAAACACCCAACAAGCAGCTCCTATGGGCTAAGGGCAAAGGAGAGACATTTGAGAGACAAAGGCATGGAGTCCCAGAGAGGAGGAGGTGATTCGAAGCCTGAGACCATATCATTGGGGTGGAGACTTCACATAAGAGAGGTGTCCCAGACAACAGTTGCCTGTCTTTCTTGGGCCATATCCTCATGCCAACCCAAATCCTCCCCCCAGCCTCCTGGTTTATTCCTGACTGATCCAATCTCCCCTGCCCCCTCCCATCTCATTGCGTCAACACCGGGTCTCCTGTTTCCTCTGTAGCCGACCTGAGATGCACTGGACTCCCACGCTTGTTTCTCACCCCACTCCCACCCCAGCCATTGGCTAGGCGTGTCCATCCACAGGGAGGTCCTAGAGCACAGTTTCCTCTTAAAGGAAAAGCAAGAGCTCATGCCTTCCCGTTTCTTCACTTGGATTTGTTTCAGTGGACTGGAATTAAGCTTTTTTTTCCATTTTACTTTTTAGTTTACATGCATAGGTATTTTGTCTGCAGGTGTGTCTGGGCACTGCGTGCATGCAGTGCCTGTGGAGGCCAGAAGAGGGCATCAGATCCCCTGAAACAAGCACTACAGGCTGTTGTGAGCCACATGTGGGTGCTGGAATTTGAACCCTGTCCTCTGAAAGAGCAGCCAGTGCTCTTAACCACTGAGTCATCTTTCCAGGCCCCCAGATAACTGATTTAAAAAAAAAAGTCCTTAGGGGTCTGTATTTGTGAATTGTGGTTTAGATAAGATTCCCATGCTGAAGCTTGGTCCTCAGTATGACCAAGGACGATACGACCTTGTGGGAAGTGAGTGGGTGGCTAGGATGCTGCCCTTGGGAAGAAATGGTGCTTGTCCCATGGGTTATTTCTCTCTAAAGCAGGCTTCAGGAAGCAAAGCCACTATGTGCTTGAACCCCTTCCACACACATTCACTTCCTTTCCTGTTTCTCTCCCATGATGGGACTCAGCCAAGGTGGTTCTCACCAGAGGCCACACTGATAGGGGCCATGCAGCTTTTCAGCCCCCAAAATTGTGTCTTAGTGGGGACTTTTTCTTCTAAATTACCTAGCTTCAGTACTTTGTTACAGAAATAGCATATCAGTTCAATATTAGAACCAAAAGAAGAAGTTTATTATATCCACCGCTGTTGTCACTTTAACATTTATCAGTTGCCAACTGTCAAAAATCAGGAGAGGTCTTACAAAAATCTAGAATTGGGCTGGAGGCGTGGCTCGGTACGAGAGCACCTTCACAGCAGGCATGAGGTCCTGTGTTCTCTCCCTCGTACCAAAAACAAAACAAAACTGCAAAACCAGACTCCCAGCCTCCTCTGAAGAAGTAGCCTGGTGGGCTTACTCCCTGTTAAGGTGCCTGGTTCCTGAAAGCATTTAGGATTGTTCCCATGAGCCTCCTGGGGACAAGAACCTGTCATACAATTTCTAGAGATCCCAGAGTTGCAGGTGCCTCGCGGGTCCTGCATCAAAGACAGTGACACCGAAAATGGCAGCCACAGCAGAAACAATCCTCCACTGGCGGCTGCCTTTCATGTCTGCACGGAGGCAAAGCGGAAGGCAGCCCTGCCGAGTGGAGCTGGGTCCCTTTGCATTATGTCCTAGTGAACCACAAAAACTCCAGGCTCCGTCTCAGATGATCAACACCCGACTTCAGGCCCCTCTGCACCCTACCTCTCCGGGGAGCCTCCCAATGCACTCCCAGCTACCCCAAAAGGCCAGAAAGCAAGGGGTGCACCTGGAGAGGCTCCCACCCACCCCAGGAGCATGTACTGAGCTCGGTTGATTTCCAGGGAGGATCTGGCAACATCATTACCAGTATTCAACACCGGGATGCTTATGCTGTACCAGATGCTTCCAGAGGCATGATGTCATCCAGTCCTCATGTAATCTCGGGCAGTTAGACTGTCAGAGTCCCTGGGTTACAGACGATGCGTTGAAAGCTCCGGCAGACGAACTTCCCTGCTGCAAGTAAGACTTAAAGCCAGGCAGCTTGAGCAGACTCTCGGGTGTGGTCCACCTCTGGGCTGCTGTCTACAAAGACCTGCCACTTAGTCCCCCACCCCTGGGCTCATCTTATCAGGGGTCGGTGCCTCCACTAGTGAGGGAAAGGGGCTATGGGTAAGGCCCCAGCTCCTGTCCCTGGGTGGGGGCGCTCAGCAAGGGAACTCGCAGCGTTTTCATTTTTGGAAGACGGGCGGTTATTAAAGTCTAGCTGCTTGGAGCAGCGACAGCTTGGTCTGACGGTCATCGTCAGTAGCAGCAGATCCACACAGCCACAGGGCAAATCACTGAGGAAAAATCTCCTCATACTGAACATGTACAGACCCTTTGCCTTTGGTCCCCAAACAGTACAGCAGTAGCCATTTAGAGACCACTGCATTGCAATGTGCATTCTAGGTCGTCTGGGTGGTTAAAAGCATATGGGAGATTTTATATATATGGCCTTCTCTGTGGAGAATTTGGTGTCTCCAGGTTGGGTATCTCCTGAGGGCAGGGAGCTCTGGAACTAATCCCTCACTGACATAAAGGGCGGCTGTCTTTATCTTCTCTCTCTCTCTCTCTCTCTCTCTCTCTCTTCCTTTTCTTGCCTTAACTCCTCATCACTCTGCTCCTCACAAGGCTTATAGGAACCAGTTCCCAAATCAAGTGCTATCACTAACTGACTGACTGGTGTTTTTGAGCGAGGGTCTTTCTGTGTAGCCCATTCTGGTCGCAAACACTCTGTTCTCCTGCTTCTGCCTCCCAAGTGCTTGGAACAGGAGTGAACCTCCTATTCCAGGCTTGGGACCTGTATCATTTATTTTTAGAGAAATTCAAACCCATGGCCATGACCAGCTCTGGGGCCTTCAAAAGTTACTTCACTTCTCGTGCCTCAGTTTTTTCTGCTGAAAGAGGAATTGGTGTGACCCCAGTGTAGCTTTCCCGGCTGTGACTAGGAAGGCACACTCAGAGTGACACACAGTGTGTCCTAAGTACTTTGTTAAGTAGCTGGATCCTAAAAAGTGAGCCATCTCCCCTAGCCCCCACACACATGCAAAGCCAGAGACAGAGGATGCCCTCCAGAGGACGGTCTGGAATGTCCACTCATTGCATCCAGCACGACCCACCACAGAACACTATCACCCCAATTCTGGCAGTCCCAGTCACCCCTGATAAGACGCTTGAAGGTAATTCCTGACTCATTCTGGGTGCTAATTGCTCATTGTGCGGGGATTACATTTCTCACGCTCAAGGTCAAGAAAAATCCCTCTGTGTGCCTGAGAGCGATTTCAGTCCGTTGGAAGCGCTTTTTTTTTTTTTAAATCAACAGCTATGGTATGGAGAGATTATAATTCAGCCATAAACAAGTATTTGCAGGCTCCTGCTAGGGATAAAGGGACATATTTTGTCGCATGCAGATAAAACAACCCTGTACTTCAAGCCAATTACTGTCTCAGACAAATGCTCTATTCGCATAGAAAATGTTTTCTTTGGTGTTTGGAAATGTCACCCCTGCAGCCCCAGGACAGAAGGAACCGTTTTTGTGAAGCTGAGACTTCATTTTCTATAAGAGAATACCGGCCTTGTTTTAGGTTTTTTGTTTTTTGTTTTTTTTTTTTTCACCCGTAATCATAACAGCCTCAGCCAACAGATACTGCCAGCCCAGAATGCGTTCTCTGGAAGTCTCGCCTTCCAGTTCTTTTCTGAAAATATCCAATTCACAGCTCCGTGTGGTGGGAAGGATCTTTTATCAAGTCACTCAGACTCACACGCATGGCCACCAAGAAAAAGACCTTCAGTGATCAAGATCATTCATTGTAAATGTTAGTCACTTTGTCACTGAGACCAGCGCAGGATAGACACACTTAAAGGTGGAAAATGTATTTGGCTCCCAGTTTCAGGGGAATCTGCCCACACTCTCTTGGCCCTGTGCACCCAGGCAGGGCATCATGGTAGCAGGTGGGTGTGGCATGGACATCTACTTTTATCATGGTGGACGGGAAGCAGAGAATAAGACAGGAAGAACCTAGCTAGGGACAAGACAACTACAGAGACCCACTACAATGCCTAGTTCCTTCGGTTGAAGTTTCTAGAACTTTCCACAATAAAGTTACCACCAGGGACAACGCATTCATAAGCCTGTGGGAACACTTTAGATTCAAACTATGGCAGTGGAGGGGGATGATTGGCCAGCCCAAGGCCAGTGCATTCATTTCCAGGGAGACCCCAGGGCATCTACAGCATCTAGTATTGTCCAGACTGTGGAGGACCCAGGCTCAAGACAAGGGCCCTTGGGTACTCCAGTACCAGGTGCCTAGTCGAGTGTGAAGCGAACATGCTTCTTGGAGTGAATGCCAAAGCCTGTCTTAAAGCCATTGCCACCAGAACTCTGACCTTAACCACCCCCCAGTTCTCCTGACATTCACCCCTTCCCCACCATGCCATCCTGTCCTCTGATCTCATCCATGCCACAGCCTCACCTGGGATTCACCCCTTCCCCCCGCCCCCACATGCACATACTACCCTGTCCTCTGACCTCACCCACTCCCCAGCCTCACCTGGCACTCACCCCCCTTCCCCTGACTCTGCTCCCACTGACCTTCCTCTAGAGTGAGCAGGTGACTGCCTACCGAGACCTGATCAGTGGCCCCCAGACTCGGTGCATTAGACTGTGTGAACCAAGGACCAAGTTTCCCACATGAAAATACTTTTAAATCATGTGATGCACACATGTCATGCATAGTCGCAGCCACCTTCCCTTCGCAAAAACAGCCTTGAACATCTCCCTTTGCAAAACTGATGTGTGTCTGTACACCTCACCTCACGGTTGCTGACATGAGGGGAGCCCTGGTCCCAAACCTCAAGGTCGCTGACATGAGGGGAGCCCTGTCCCGAACTTCATGGTCACTAACGTGAGGGGATCCCTGGTCCCAAACACAGGAGAAAAGCCTGCCTGAGGTGGGAACAAGCAGCAGTAGAGTCTAAGGTCAGATCCAGTCACCATGAGGTGAACAAAATCATTGTGAGGATCTGTCTGCATGCGCTTTCATAGAGTCACGAGGGCGGTCAATCTATTTGAATACAGTACAACTCCACCTGCTGATAGACCCAAATTCAGAATTCTAACAAAACGTATCTCTACTCTGCCCACTTCTTCATTATTACTATTCCAGTCCAAATCAGTATCACAAAGACCCAGCCATGAAGAGTCTTGAAGTATACATAGGAGTTTTCTAGGGCCTGGAACAACATTGCAAATGCTCAGAGTCACGGAAAGTCTCTCTCTCTCTCTCTCTCTCTCTCTCTCTCTATATATATATATATATATATATATATATATATATATATATATATATCACACCACAGACAAGATAAAAAGATCACAGTGATACAGTGTATCAGGTTTCCATAGAAAAATATGGTGAAAAAACAAAACCTCACCTCAAACTTCTGCCGCAGCTCTTCACTGCCCTCGCTTCCCTCCGGCGGCACAGGCACATTGAAGTACTCGCCCTCTTCCTGGCTCAGTAGCTTGAACCTGATGGGAGACAAGTGGTTGTGAGAAGTCTGTGTCTGTGTGTAAGAGCATCAAGCTGGGCAGAAAGCCTGCCTAAAAACAAACAATCAAACTGGTGAGGGCTGGGGAGACAGCTCAGTAGGGTAAAGAGCTTGCCATGCAAGTGTGAGGACTTGAGTTCAAATCCCCAGAATGCACATAAAGGTGGGCAAAGTGACGCATCTGTAAGCTTAGCGCTGTAAGCTCAGAGAAGGAGGCTGAAACAGGAGAATTCCCCAGAAACAGCTCGGCAGGCAGCTCATGCTGAGCAACAACACTACCTCAGGCAAGGTGGAAGGTGAGGCCAGGACCTCTGCCTGCTGGCTGTGGCTGGCCTGCGCCTGCACAGGTGCATACCCAGCTCTGCCAGTTAGTCACTCGGCTGCTCTCTGCTGAGGCAAGCTAGTAGACCTCCTGGGTGCGCTTTCCTTCCCCGCCCCTCCCGTTGGCTCCCTTCCAACAAGACCGCAGACCTCACAGTGCTGCTTTCCCCAGCAGAGGTGGGATGAGGGGCCCTGTGTTCGGTCTCTGGAGGAACAGGGTCCCTGTGAGTATGAAGGCAAACCCTGGCATTACACAGCGCCTGGCTTCGGTTCCACCCTACCCCTTACTCCTTTGAATGACTTTGGATACAGAGTCCATCTGAGCCTTTGCACTTTGCACCTACACACTGGAGCAGAAGTCCCTTCTGCACAGAACTGAAAGGTGGTGTTGGTGAAATCAACGCAGCCCCAGTTCTCAATAAACAGCATCATCTCGGTCACCGTTAATGGTGACAACGGTCTGATAATACACGTGGGAGCTTTGACTTACTTTTTTAACCACTAGGATACTGACCACAGGACATAAAGAAAAAAGTGCGGAAGGAAGGAGGACACTCAAAGGTGAAGGGGAGGCCCCCAAGTTCCTCTCTCCAACAGTTATCCCTAAAAATTAGCATATATGATGTATGTACAAATATTGAATCTTAATTTTAAGACTTTATCGTAGTAATAGGAGCCTCTAAGCCTCACAGTGACTACCCAGCCCTCTCTCCCCGAATCTCTAAAAGCTATAGAACTAAAAACGTGTGCACATCTGCTGTATGCACATCTGCTGGAACCCAGGAGTCCCAGGAGTTTCTACGAGGTGATGTCATCGGTCATGGGGGAACACAGGATGGTGTGTGGCTAGCTTCGCCTTTCATAAGCCTTTTTATGGGTTCTGCTAAATGTGCACATTATTTTGACTTAATGTTCTTCATTAAAATAATTGGATTTTAACTGGGTGGTGGTGATGCATGCCTTTAATCCCAGCACTCGGGAGACAGAGGCAAGGGGATCTCTGTGAGTTTGACGCCAGCCTGGTCTACAAAGTTAGTTCCAATTTAGCTATGCTACATGGAGAAACCCTGTCATGAAAAATAAAAAGAGGGGGATTCAAAAAATAGTAAGTTCACATTTAAAGTTTGTCTTTTGGGTTGAGGGAAAAAAATTAACATGTACAAAGTGCTAGATTCAACTGCTGATGAAGGAATTGAAATAGGAGGGGGAGAACAAAGGAGAGGAGGAGGGGGAAAGGGAGAGGAAGAAGGAGAGAGAGAGAGAGAGAGAGAGAGAGAGAGAGAGATTCTCTGTAGCTCTGGGGCCTGTCCTGGAACTACTGTTGCTTTTTTTAAAGTAAAAGGTGACTGTTAAAAAGAAAGGCGGAGCGAGGGACACAGCCCAGAGGGTGAAGTGTCTGTGGTGTGAGCCTGAAAACCTGAGTTTAGATTCCCAGCACAAAGGAACAGAGTTGGGTCCCTAAATCCTGGCACTGGGAGGCAGAAACAGGAGGCTCTCAGGGACTCTCAGCCAATTGGTGAGTTCCAGGCTCAATGAGAGACCTTGTTTCCAACCACCAAGTAAAGAGCAGTGACCGAGAAAGATGTGGAATGTCAACCTCTGGTTCCACGTGTGCACATGGGCAAGCATCACACACACACACACACACGGGGTGGCAGGGGCAGGGCTGTGGTGTGGATGAGGAACATCCCTCGCGAGCCCCGTGTTTTGAATTTGCACACTGCAGTGTTCTGTTCAGAAGCTGTGGAACGTTTTGTGCATGAAACCCAGCTGGAGGAAGTAGGTTACCAGAAGCATTATCTCGGGAGGTTCTATCCAGCCCCTAGCTTCTGCCACACACTTGGCATCCCTGGCCCACTAGGGTGTGGAGAGCTGACCTCCTCCTCCTCCTCCTCAGCCACCATGATACTCAGCATAAGCACATGAGACCAATCAACTGTAATGTGAGCTTTCTGAAACTGTGAGCCAAAATTAATCGTTATCCTGTGAGTCGTTCTGTTGGGTAGAGTTTAGTCCAAAGAGGCACAGCTCTTCTACAGTCTAACCTGAGCCCTCCCCGCTTTCCAGATGGGACCAGCAAATGGGTGAGCATCCTAGGCATCTGCCAGCAGCCCCCAGTCCTTCTCTCGGCAGTACTAGGATCAGAGCGGACAAATCAGTAGAAGTCACTATGATCCAAAGTCATACTTGGTCTCACAATTCAGACAATACAGTTCACCAGCTTCCATAGGTACCGGGAACCCCAGCTACTGACAAGCTTGGATCAGATAAGCAAGGGGTAAGTAAGGGTCCCATGTCCCCACATCCGGAAGGCTGGGAGAGAGATCAGGTCCTGGAGCAGGTCTGCCACCAGCAGTGTGACTCAGACTATACACACTCCTACTGCACCCATGAAAGGACACCTGTACCCTAGAAGAAGAGAACAGGAACTCAGAGCCAAAGGAAAGACGACACTTCTCCATCAGCAGGGATACTTGTCTGCTGTCTCTAGCTGTGCCCCCCACCCCGCCAGGGAACAGGATACCTGGTCTGCACAAAACAGAATTCTGAGACCTTGTAAAAGGCTCCTGGCTCCCTTATTTGCATCTGAGGACTATGGCAGGGACACCCATCACTGCTGTGCCCATCCTCCTACCAGGAGAGATGAAGGCATCAGGACACATGGAAATGTAGCCATCAGAAAGAAAGCAACATAGAAGCAGTGGACCGGGCCACCCGGGAACACAGCAGCTGAAGGGAAGACCCAGAGAATGTCTAATTCATATTTTCAAAGGGAACCAAGAACAGAGGACAATCTGAAATTAGGAAAGATTGTTTCAGAAGAAAAATCCAATCACTGAATTTCAAAATCCGCTGGAGACAGTGAACACAGGATGGATAATTTGGACAATTAGGGAATTAGAAAACAGAGCCGGGAAACGTCTCTGGCCGTTGCCTTGATATTTATCACATTAGCTTAGAGTAACATAGATGCTTTCTGCACACTAAGAAAAATACAGACGTGTGAGTTCGAGGCCAGCCTGCTCTCCAAAGCGTGTTCCAGGACAGTCAGGGCTTTTAAACAGAGAAACGCTGTCATGAAGAAAAGGAAAAGGAAAAGAGAGAGAGAGAGAAAGGGAGGAAGGGAGGGAGGGAGGGAGGGAAGGAAGGAAGGAGAAAAGGAAGGAAGGAAGGAAGGAAGGAAGGAAGGAAGGAAGGAAGGAAGGAAGGAAGGAAGGAAGAAAATTATGAAGGAGAGCAGCAATTAACATGAGTGGAAAAACTGCATAACACACAGTTGGGAAAACCCTCAGCAGCGAGAGCTCTTTTTCTCCAAAGTGCTGGAGACTAAACCCAGGCCTTCGTGTTTGCTGAGCAAGTGGCCTACAGTGAGCGGCATCCCCTATGAAAAGTTCTTAGGAATCAATGAGGAAAATGCGAAGTCAAGGCTGTCATTCACAAGTATCAGCAAATGGCAATCTGCAAATGACAATGCTTAGCATAATTAGAAATAATGAATGAGCATGGTCCTTGCATTGAGTATTTGACATATACAGAACCAAGAGTTGACAACTGAGGGTGAAATAGTACTCTCACACATTCATCAGATGGAGATTTAAAAAAAAAAAATACAGGATGTATTGGCACACATCTTATCGACACTCGCGTTCTCAGAGCCATCCGTTTCAGTCTTGTGGGTTTATTAGGATGTGATTAAAGCTGGACACAAAGAGTTGAGCTGCCAGTTTGTTATCAGGGAGCTATTTTTCACAGATATGCATTTCCCACATAGAATAAGCGGCTGTCTGACGAAGGCAGTCCCGCCCCGTGGGTCGCACGAAGCTGTGAGAAATGATGTCTAAGAGCAGCTCAGAGAGCTCAGAGGACAAAGAACCTGATGTCAACCAAGAGGATGGAGTTGGGTGCCCTAGGACTCATACAAAGCCAAGTCCAGCAGCAAGCATCTATCACCCTTCCTTGCCCAGAAGCTCACCGGTCACCCGGCTTGGTGTATCGGCAGCGAACCACTCTGCCCCAGACAAACTAGGAAACGCGGATGAACACCAGAGACCCTCCCTTCCGTGTGCATGCCATGGCACACAAGCACCAGCCCCACACGAGTATTCACACACATGGGCAGTGGTGGCACACGCCTTTAATCCCAGCACCCAGGAGGCAGGAGCAAGCGGATCTCTGTGAGTTCGAGGCCAGCCAGGTCTACAAGAATCTTCAACACACATGAACATGCATGTACATACTACACCCATACAAATACATTTTGTAAAAATGCTGCTTCCAAGGCTATTAAGTGCTGGGAACGGGTTCATAATACACTGTGAGATTCTGTTTTTATTTTTGCAGGCATACACAGAGGTGGAGGGATGAAGAAGGGAGAAGGGGCAAATAGGTCTTAGCTTCCCTACTCAGAGCACACACACCAGGTCTCTTCCTTGCTGGCTTATGTTTCCCAAGCTGCTTCAAGATGCCTGCAGTTCACCAGACATGGGCCTCAGAGCCTTTGCATGCAGTGCTTTCTCCCTGGACAGCAGCAAGGCCCAGGTCAGACACCCTGCCAAACATCACCTTGCCACTAAGTGTTTTCCTGAGAAAGGACTGAATGAAATGTACAAACCAGCTGTGTTCCCAGCATCCCCTCTCCTTGTTCTTATGTCTCCTGATAGCATTTGCTTATCGCCTGGAACATGCCATGTTTGGTTTTCTTGTTGTTGTTGTTTTGTTTTGTTTTATTTGCTAATGTAAAAATGTTTTTCCTTTTCTCCACCTAGAGAGACAGCTCCCTGGGGCTGAAGATCTGTGTCTGTTTAGTTCTCTTGTGTCTCCTAAGCACAGAGGGTTCTGGGCTGTGGATTTCCAAAGAATGAACAAGCGCTGGCACGGATGCCATCAGTGAAGTGAGGTGACCTGGGTGGGGGCGGGGTGGGGGAGCATTCACAGCAACAACGATAACTCCATGTCAGATAATAAGCCAGGAAGAGTTACACAGTGGGCGATCTTACTACATTCATAGAAAAAGAACAACAGCAATAGAAATGAAAGGAAAAGGTTTCGAACAATTTTACTGAGAAAGCCATGACAAGCGTTATACATTTCTCTTAAGCAAATAAGAAGAAAATATAAAAGCACAAAGGGTTCATAAACCATGAAGATGGGGAGCTCATCGATGCTGAGATGCACCCTACAGACAATAAATACAATTTTTATTCAAACGCCGATAGGATATTTAGGGACATTGAATGTAGACTGAGTTTAGTTGAAAGAAAGGGAGAAGTGGGAAGGAAAAAGCAAGAGGCTGGAGAGATGGTTCAGTAGTAGCACTGGGAGTCACACCCAGGTCCTCTGTGAGAGCACCAAGTGCTCTTAATGGCTGAGTCATCCTCCCTGCCCCAGGAGCACATATTTAAACGCAAAGCTATTTCTCAAGGTTAAAGCATATGCCTGCACATAAGTGTATAAGAAAGGAAATGAAAAACATAATGGCAGAGCCGGAAACAGCAACAAAAGTCAGGATGTGAAATGCCACAACTTAAAGGAATTGTCTACCCACCCAATAGGGTTTGTGATTTCTAAAGAACTGGGCAAGGTAAGAAGAGAAAACCAAACAGCAAAACACTCAACCGGAGCTCAAAGACAAACGCAAAATAAACAGACAGAGGGAAGAAAGCAGACGTAGATCTAAGACACAGTCCCAGAGCAGAGTCTTTGGAGGAAAACAAACCAAACAAGTAATACAGATGAATCTCCAGCAAAACCGAGAGGAAGCGGGGAGAAAGCATAAATAGACCCAATTAGGAGCACAGGGGAGCATTTGACAGCAGGTACAGGGCTGGCAACTACGAGGCAGATGAGTGGCCGGGGGCAGGTGTGGCACATCTGGAGGCTTCTCCAGCTGCCTCTGTGGGTTCTGCCACATGGTTTTAAGTCACAGCTGGACATCACTGGACAACCAGGGCACACTCGATGAGCTTCCTCGAGGTGTGAACATCATAGAGTGTGATAACCGAAATCTAGGTCACAGAGCTGCCTGCATACTTGAGCTCTGGGGTCTAGCCTGCGGCTCCTTGAGGCAAGTCTGCACAGCATGTTCCTGTCACCGAACACCCCAGAGGCACCGCTGCCGCACAACGGTATTTAGCAAGAGGATTTTTTTTCCAGATCCTTTATTGACTTAGAGAACCACTGTCGACATCATTCACACTGCTGTAACACAGCAGGATGGTTAGAGGAGCCCATCTCCTGCCAGAGGGAGAGACTGAGTCTGCAAGGAGGGATGTGACTTATTCAACAACATGCTAAAACACTGCTGGACAAGCTTGAGGCCCCGGAGTTTGGAACTATAGCATCCACATAGAACATCCTGGGTGTGGCATCACACACAGGCCTATAATCTCAGTGCCAGACATCAGGGGCTTCCCTGGCGAGTCTAGGTAAATCTCCAAGTTCAGTGTGCCTCAAAAATGTATTATTATCCATTATACTTTTTTTTAGATGGGGAGGGGAGTCTCATATAGTCCAGGCTGACCTTCAACTCCTTTTATAGCTAAGGACGCCCTTGAACTTCTGATCCACCCTGCCTCCACCTCCCCAGTGTTGGGATTACAGGAAGACACCAGCACTTTGAGTATGTGTGGCATTGGGGAGGGAACTAACCCATCTTATTATTATATCCAGGCCAGCGCCTTTTCGCTGTCTTTCTGTGTGCTTGGGTTAAATGCATAGCTCTTGCTAAGATTCTCACGGGCAAACTGTCTCAGCCAACAGCTGTTTTAAGCAAGCACTTGGCTTTCTGGTGTTGCCACTTAAAACAGGCAGTCCGAAGGTTGTGCTGCATACTGGGCTGAATGTGAACACAGTAAAATTAGAGGGGTGGGGCGGCAGAGGAGGGGTACGACAGCCTCGTTTCTGAAAATGGACTTAAGCTCCTTGAGCAGCTCAATTGGCCTGGGAAAGAAAGGGGTTGGGGAGTTACAAGGAGGGTAGCATCCTGCTGTGGTCCCACCTTCCTAGAGGACTGTGCCATCACAGCAGCTAGGAGAGGTGGGTAGGGGGATACCTGAGCAGAGCCACCATCTCTCCATGAAGGGGTCTCAGAAGTGAGAAGTCCCAGAAGCACTGGGGCAAGGGGTGGGGAATGGGGCCTAGTGTGGCCTGGGGCTGGAATGTGTTGGGCTCTGTAGGGAAGGCACACGCAGAGGAGGACAGCAGACACAAGACCTAAGGCACAAGCAGGAAGCCATTAAGAAGCTGCAAAGCAAGGTGGGGCCAGACCTGCTCTGGGGTGTGGGGGTGCTGTTTAGAACAGTTCCTCTGCAAGAGAGAAGCCTGGGAGGCCGCCCCAGCAAAACCCTACTCTGTGGCCACCACAAGCTCACAAACAGTCTGAGAAAGCCAAGGATGTTTTCACAAAAGAAGCCGCCATGTTTTTCCTGTAGCCGTGATTCTTGCACCTGCGTGTTCAGTCCGGTGCCTGGCACCCAGCCAGAGCCTGTCGGTGGTAACTATCTTTACTACAATTATCGTTCTGCTCTCTCCTGCCTCACTTCTACCCACCAGGGATCATGGATCTTCTCTTTAACCACTGTCAACTTGACCTGCCGAGGAAGGAACACCCAGTCTGTGGGTCCGTGAGGGCGGGAACACGCCAAGGGGAAAGTATCCGAAACCGCGAAGGGGAAGAAAGGATGTCGCACTAGTGTTTCCTGCTCAGGCATCTCCTTCCTCCTGTAATGTCACCAAACTTAGTCATCGTATGCAGGTGGCTGCCTGATCTGCATAGGAAAATGTGAACTTTTGGAAAAGTGAGTTGTGACCTTCTTCTGATCCATGTTGGCAGATGACAGAACCCCAAGCCTAGGCTTCCATTAGGCTATTATTTTCTGTATGCATACATTTAATGTAGCCTAGCTATTTCAGCAAACTTTTCCCCCCAAACACCAGTTTTCTAGCTATCAATCTACCAAACCTTTTTGTGGAGTCAGCCATGGTCTTCAGTAGTGAGCTGAGGACAGCCTTGATTCATTCTCATTATTTTGCAAGACTGGTGTTTTAATCACTTCTGAACTGTGCCTTTTTAAATACCCCCCATATCATGGTGACTACCCATGGATTATCCACGTCACCATTCTCATAACGTGGTCCTCGACTGTTGTCGTGAGCAATTTCTTGTCTAAGGTTCATCTCTGCTCCCCACCATGGGTTCACAAACACACATTTGTCTTCTATCCTGATGCACCCTGAGGGACTGGAACATTCTATCCATTTGAAGGAGAGCCTGTGATAAATCAATGTGGAGCAGGGACTAGGAAGCTTATGCTGGGCAATGGAGGATGTATGGCCCGGAAGATGCATTCTCTTTCATGAGAAAGCAGTTCGATTTTTCTTTTCTTACACTTGGAACTGAAAGAGTCCCAAGTGAGACAATTTAAAAAGGAGATAATTTATCTTAAAGAACTAAGAGCAGGTCCAATCACCACTTCCCCCAAAGCAGTGGCTGGGAAGCCAGGTTAGACCATTGATCCTGACTCTCTTTCTCAGGTGACTATGAGGTGGTTGCCCACAGGGCTGACCTACTTTCTTGTTGGAGACGCAGGATGAAGGTGCTTTGTTCTGGCAGTGGGAGGGAGCAAAGCAGCAGCAAGAAGACAGGTGGGTGACTGTGGACAGGAGGCACTGTCAATAGGGACACACTACCTTTGAAGGAGTCAAGACTGTCCAATGGATTGCCCAGATCTGTCAGGTAAACTTGAGAGAGGGCTTTAGTGTCCATGAGGCTGGGTGCAGTAGGGCAGAGGCAATACACGAGGGACAGGTAAGGACTGTGACCAAGAGAGAACCGTGACTGGCATTCGGCTTTTCACAGCTATAGTCTAATCATGTCAGATTGTGTGTGTGTGCATGCGTGTGTGTGTGTGTTCCTCGAGGAGAAAGGTTGATGTTCAGTGCCTTTTTCAAATACTCTCCATTTTACTTTTGGAAGGTTCTTTTCACTGAATCCAAGCTCACCAATTGGTTAGACTCATTACCCAGTGAGTTCTAGGGGTATTCTTGTCTCTGGATGCCTCCGTTCCTGCCCCTTTTGCCACGCCAGTGCTGGGGTTACAGATACATGCCACTGCTGTTGTGCCCGCTTTTACATGGGGTCTGGGGATCTGAGCTCAAGTTCATGATGTTAATATAAAATCAAGCACTTTACTGACTCAGCAAGCTGTCTCCTCATCTCTTTTAGTTCTAGCAATTAATTATTCTTTTAAAAGCCCTGGGGATCAAATGTAGGACCTTGTTCACTCATGCTGGGTAGATGCATCGCCACCCAGCCATTTCCCTTTTACTTTATTTTGAAATAAGTGATCAAACTTCCCCAGGCAGACCTTCCCCATGCAATTTTCCCAACCTCAGCCTACCAATTAACTAGGATAGAAGGCCCATGTCACCAGGCCCTGCCAACTCTCGTTCTGTAAATTGAAGAGCCAAACAAGGTGCATGCGTGAGACCGAGCCAAGATAGCAGTCATCGTGATGGGTTTTCATTTTCATATTGCAATTTTAAAAGAAAAGGGAAAACACATTCAATCCCAGGTCTGATGGACCGACTTGCATTGGGTGTCCAGTATAGAATTCTTCTTACCAGCCATCCACCCCAGCCTTCTGCAGTTCCGAAATCCCAAACGACAGAGATCCCATGAAGTCATTCCTGCTGGTCAGGTCCCAATCCCAGATCTCTACGGACAGTCTTCTGTCTTTGTCTGATTCCTTCAGCTGACTGGAGGGAGAAAGAGAGAGAGAGTCAGTCAGCCAAGGCCAAGGCCATCTTGATGTCTCACATAGATGAAATGTGCAAGAGGATGTGGGCCTGAGATAGAAACCCTTAACTGTCACAGGCTGCTGCAGGAGACAGACTTGGTTTCCACTCCCCTGGGAGTAGGGGCTCATTCTGTTTGACAGCCTGTTGATCAAACAGGTGGGAGGCCTTAGCTAGCTCCAACAAAAGCAAGTCTATCTGTGGCTATTGTCTCTGTCTTTATTCCCACGGACAGTCACTGAGAAAAATTCCGATGCCCAAGACATCATCGGGCAGGCATGTGTGTGCATTTGCATACTTGTGGGTTGGATGAAATAGAGAGACTGCATGGAGAAACCTCTTGCTGGAGTCTTGGGGGAAACTGTTCTGCAATATGGCCCCAAAAGGCTCAGATAGACATTGCTTTATCCTGAGCAAGAGGCAAGGATATGAGGTTGCACCCAAGAACAGTGATGCCAGCCTGTGGCTGCGGCATGACCTATGGTGCCAAACTACGCAAGGCTGCACCCTCCTCAGCCTTCTACTCACCCAGGGGCTTCTTTAGCAAGGCCCACGCATAAAATAGAAACGAATTAACCAGCAATTGTTAGTCAGATCGCTTAATTAGTGCTTGACTGTACATCATACCTGCTCAGTAAATACCAGCTGTTACTATGAATGACCATTGGCCCAGACATGTTGAGAGGAGACCCGCATACTCTTCCTGGCCAGAGAAGACCCTAAAGCAAAGCTGATACAGTTCTCCCAGTAGGCAACAAGCCCAGTACCATGTAAACTCAGCCCTGGAGATATTGCCAGTATAACCTATAGACTATGCCCCACTCATTCCCCTTCATCAGGCAGCACGAATACTCAATCTCATCCAGTCTGACTTCACATATCACAAGCAGTCTCAACTCTATTAGAAAAAGATCCGATTTCCCATTAGCTCACAATACTGAAATCCAGATGTAAGAGAAGGGGGAAAGGACGCAAAGGGAAAAGAAAGAAAGCAGAGGCTAAAGGAGAGATGCCCCAGTCCCTGAAGACCGCTATCCTTGAGCTATCGTGGTTTGTACTTACAATCTGAAGGTCTCGTTCCACTCAGGGTTGAGAGAGCACTTGATGGTCCTGGTCTTCTGCTTGCTCTCACTTTTGGGATCAGGAATCAGTTTCAGTTTAACGTAGGGATCTGACAAGCCATTGGGGTCCATAGGTACAAGATTTTTAGCATCTCTTACTGAAAAACAAAATGCAGTTCCAATATTACTAATGTCCAAAATGTTTACGTATCTGTTAGTGATGCTTGTGACACCCATGGCAGGGTCCTGGGCATCACACCTGCTTGGTGGGAATTTCATTAATATCAACAGCTAGAGTGGCATGTAAATGAGACAGTCCAACAGGATGTAGATTCCGTTCCATATTGTATAAAAATTATTCTTAAAAATTTTTATTAGCATATATTAATTATGCAAAATAACGTGTCCTTGTAATATTTTCAAGCGTGTATATAACACATGTGATGGCTAATTTTATGTCAACTTGACACAAGCTAAAGTCATTCTGGAAGAAAGAACCTCAAGAGAAAATGTCCACACCAGATTAGCCTGCAAGTAAGACTGTGAGGCATTTCCTTCATTGATAATTGATGGGGGAGGGCCCAGGCCACTTGTGAGCAGGGCTTCCCCTGAGCTGATGGTCTGGGTTATATAAGAAATCAGGCTGAGCAAGTCCTGATGAGCAAGCCAGTGGGTAACACTCTTCCATGGTCTCTGCATCAGTCCCTGCAGGAAGTTCCTGCCCTCCCATCCTGACTTCATTAGATGACGGAATATGATGTGGAACTGTAAGGTAAAATAAACCCTTTCCTCCCCAAGTTGTTTATGACCATAGTGCTTTCTTAGAGTAACAGAACCCTACAACAACATACTTTATGCTCAGCCTTCCTAAAAATTGACTTCTGACTTCTGTTTTGCTTTCACCCCTCCTTACTCCTAAGACACACTCTAATTTTTCTAAAATCCCCTTCCCCAAGACCCACAAGAATCTGTCTCTTTTAGTTTTAGCATGATAGTTTCAAGGTGTCATTGCACAGCAAGTATCCGTGATGCTTTTTAAAGTTCAGTAATATTCCATTCCATAGCTATGCTGTATTTGTTTATCCATTCATCACTTGTCAACATCCGGGTGGCATCATCTCCTTTCTGGAGCATGCATGTGCCGACACACAACGGTCACATGCTATGTGATGGTCAGTCTCCATTGAGATCTCATCAATTGGAAAGAACTTGGGGCATTAGGAAAGTACATTTCTTAGTGTGTCTATAAGGGCATTTATGAAAATGATTAGACCACCAGGGCTCTGGCTAAATGAATGGTCTAATCCACTGATGGATGCCAAATAAGAATTAGTTATTGGGAGGTGGTGCAATTGCAGACAGTAGAGTCTGGCTGGAGAAATAAGTCACCGAGGGCATGTCCTTGAGAACCAGATCTTGTCATGGCCAGCTCCTGTAAGCGCTCTGCTCTGTTTCTTGTCTGTCAAGATGTGAGTTCCTCCATCACACTCTCCCACCATGATGGACTGAAGCCTGAGTAGAACAAACCCTTCCTCCCTCAGGCTGTTCTCTCAGGTATCGGACACAGCAATGAGACAGGACTAAGCTAATCCCGAGCAGTCAACCCACACAGACAAACAGAGGGCTCACTGTTGCTACATGTGAGGGAAGGGGACCAAAGAGGTGGCACTTCATGGGCACAGGCTTTTCTTTAGAGGTGATGGACTCATTAAAACTAGAGAGATGACCGCAATGCTGTAAATGTAAAGTATAGGGAACTGTGTATTTTAAAAGAGCAAATGGCTAATTTATATGTTGCAAATGTTACCTTCATCCAAAAAGAAAAGGACCAAAAAAAGGAAAAAGAGCTGCCATCTAAAGGAGGGTACCTCTGCTATCCACATATCATTACCCAGCAGCACCCAGTGAGTCCACAGAGAGAAGGTTGGGAAAATATCAACAGCATGCAGCTAGACTCCACCTAAAAATAAGGCTCCCTTATGAAGGTTATAGAACTAGCTTAAGGAAGGAAAGGGAGTGAAGAATCTGAGCCAAAGGTACAGTGGGCCAGACAGGAGACGAGGGAGAAGGAAGCATCTGCTTGGAGAATAGGAAAAGCTGATCAAACAGCAGCTCAAAAGGTAGAAACATACACAGCCGAGAAAAGGGGACCAGAAAAAGAGGTTTGCATGGAATTTATGGCTATAGTGTTAAATAATGTAAGGGGGTGTTTTTCATCTTGGGAAAGAAAATCCAAGATAATATATTCAATCCAAAAACAAATGAAACTCAGACAAATGAAGGTCTGAGTCTACTGGAAATGTAAAGATGATTCAACCTTTTCACAAATCTATTATTAATATATTCATCAATTTAAAACTGAAAGAAGAAAACCACAAGGTCATTGTAGTTATCTGAAACTAGCATGAAAATCTCTCAACAGGGTCATGGCTAGCTGAAATAAAAGCATCACGGTTTACGACAAACACAATCCCACAAAAGTCAGCAATGAGGCAATGATGCCCATTTCCACAGCTATGTTTGCACACTCTCTCCAAATGTTACATGGATGCAACAGCAGAACAACAACAACAACAAAAAGGAATTCATGGAGCATGCCTGCGGCAGCGAACTTCACAGAAGCAGGACTGAGCCAGCGTTCTCTGTGGGTCCAGGCATTGATCTGGGACCTCCAAGGGAGTAGGCAGAACCCAGAAAGCTCTGCTGGTCCTGGCATGAATCTGGGACCTCCAAGAGAGGAGATCAGAGTCAGAGACCTTTACAGGACCAACTTCAAGCCAGGAACCTCCAGAGAAGCAGATCCAGACCAGGGACATTTACAGAAACAGGTCTAAACCTGCAACTTATACCAGAGAAGGCCTGAGACAACAAACTCCAAGGGAGCAGGAGCAGAGCAAACCCCAGGAGTGCTGAGCGACCTCCTGGAACATGGAGTGACCAACGGGATAACTAGAACTGTGGCACTGACTGTACCATGAGGAAAACCATCTGAGCCTTGGGTCCACAGGCACCTAGAAGATTAATCACCAGAGTCACAGATAGCCCCAACCACACCAATTAGAGGAAAAGATGAGTCGACAAGGTAAGAACATGTGTAATACCACAAAGGGCAACATGACACCAGTAAAATCTAGAGACCCTACCACAGCAAGATTTGAACAACCAAATATAAATGAAGCAGAAGAAAATGACCTAAAAATAATTTCAGGAGAATGTTTGAGACTCTTAAAGAGGAAATGAAAAATTCCCTCAAAGAAATTGAGGGAAAGACAAACAAAAAAAATGGAAGACATCAGTAAATCCCTTAAGGAAAATCAAGAAAAAGTAATCATACATATGAAAGAAACTATTCAAGACTTGAAAACTGAAATAATAAAAACAATAAAGAAAATAGAAGCCGAGGGAATTATAGAAACAGAAATCATGAGAAAATGATCAGGAACCACAAATGCAAACATAAACAGCAGAATACAAGAGATGAAAGAGAGAATCGCAAGCACTGAAAGAGGAAATAGACTCACCGGTCAAAGAAAACATTAACTCTAACAAAAGTAAACCCAAAATATCCAGAAAATATGGGACACCATAAAAAGACCAAACCTAAGAATAATTGGTATAGAAGATGGAGAAGTTCAATTCAAAAGCACAGAAAATATATTTAACAAAATCATAGAAGAAAACTTTCCCAACCTAAAGAAAGATATGCCTATGAAGATTCAAGAAGCTTACAGAACACCAAATAGACTGGATCAAAAAAAAAAAGTCCCCTTGCCACATAATAATCAAAACACTAAACATACAGAATAAAGAAAGAATATTAAGAGCTGCAAAGGAAAAAGGCCAAGTAACATATTAAGGCAGATCTATCAGAATTACAACTGACTTTTCATTGGACACAATGAAAGCCAGAAGGTTGTGATCAAGCATTATGCAGACAGACATTAAGAGACCACGGATGCCAGCCCAGACTACGATACCGAGCAAAACTTTTAATCATCACAGAAAAACAAAACAAGGTATTCTATGACAAAACCAGATTTAACCAATGCCTAGCCACAAACCCAGCCCTACACAAAGTACTAGAAGGAAAATTCCAACCCATGGAAGTTGGCTATACCAACAAAAACACAGGCAATTGATGATCTCACAGCAGCAAATCCCAAGGAAGGAAAAACACACAAATTAACATCACCACCAACAAAAACTAAATTAACAGGAGATAGCAATCACTGGTCATTAATACCCCTTAATATAAATGGACTCAACTCACCTATAAAAAGATGCAGGCTAACAGATTGGATATGAAAACAGAATCCATCTTTCTTCTGCATAAAGAAACACACCTCAACCTCAGAGTAAAGGGTTGGGAAAAATTTCCAATCAAATGGACCTAAGAAACAAGCGGGTGTAGCTGTCCTAATATCTAACAAAATAGACTTCAAAGTAAAATCAATCAAAAGAGACAAAGAAGGGCATTACATATTAGTCACAGGAAAGATCCATCAAGAAGAAATTTCAATACTGAACATCTATGCCCTAAATACAAGGGCACTCTCATATGTAAAAGAAACACTTCTAAAATTTAAATCATACATTAAACCCCACACACTAATAGTAGGAGACTTGAACACTCCACTCTCACCACTGGACAGGTCAATCTGACAAAAAAATTAACAGAGAAATAGGGAACTAACAGATGTTATGACTCAAATGGACTTAACAGACATCTACAGAATAGTCCATCCAAACAGAAGAGAATATACCTTCTTCTCAGCACCTCATGGAACCTTCTCAAAATTGGCCAACTATTCGGTAACAAAACAAACTTCAACAGAAACACTGGAATAACCCCATGTATCTTATCAGATAACTATGGTTTAAAACTAGAAGTCAACAGCAATACTAACTCCAGAAAATCCACAAACCAATGGAAATTAAACAATGATCACCTGAGTCATCAATGGATCAAGGAAGAAATAAAGGGAAAAATTAAAGACTTCCTAAAATTCAATGAAAATGACCACACAACATACCCAAATTTATGGGACACAATGAAATCAGTGTTAAGAGGAAAGTTCATAGCACTAAATGCCTACATAAAGAAGCTGGAAAAATCTCACACTAGTGAATTAACAGAACATTTGAAAACTTTATAGAA